TTCCTCAGGGCCAGCATCTTCCCTTGAAGTTTCTCCAGTGGTTCCTGACTGCAGGATGGAGTAAAGGTACAAATGGGGCCCAAGGGCAGCCAGGAGACATTGGCCTCAGTAAGCCCTCCTGTCTTGCTTTGTCTTACAGCCTGTTCCTCAGATTACTCATGAGTGATGTCCCCTGTCACCCTGATCTAAGGTAAAGGTTGATCACAGCAGAGATACTGCAGATGAGTTTTGTTCAATGCCACAAACCAGCAAGACCCTAAGTTCCACATTTATTCTGAGGAACTCTACCCACAGGAGTGGGAATACAAAGCAGTGCTGCTCCCAGCAGTATTATCCGTGCCTATTAATGGATTTAAAGGTGAAATTAGGCTTGCTAGGGTTATATTTATGACCTATTCTGGTTTTATTCCTAATTTCCATTAGTTTACAATTTCTTCTCTAGATATCTCCTGGGAAAACACAACACTGCTGACCTTGAGAAAGCACCCTAACGCCAACAGGAAGGTCCTCATGTGGTCAGGTAAGCAGAAAGAGGGCTAACAAATATTTTGCAACACACAAAACCCCACCACACAAAACCCCACCACACAAAACCCCACCAAAAAAAACCCCACCACACAAAACCCCACCACACAAAACCCCACCACACAAAACCCCACCACACAAAACCCCACCACACAAAACCCCACCACACATTAGGTGCTTTAGAATTCAAATAGGTAGTATTGCACAGAGTTTGGAACAGTAAGAGTGCCATAGGACCTGGAAAGATCAACTTTAGGCACTGGTGGGGTCAAGGAGACAACTGTCCTTGGCACATTTTTGAAAGATAAACAAGAAAGATGACACACACATCCACAGGAGGAATAAACAAAGCAGGTGAAACACTCTCCCCTTAGGACAGGGAACTGGAAGGCCTTGTTACCTCATTAAAAGAAAGCCTAGTATTAAATTGGGTTTTACCAAAATTGAGCTGATGACATGAGTAAACTGAAGATGCAGAAAATACAAGTTACTCAAGGCTTATTGCTTAGAACTGGAATGTCAGCCTCAAGCTCTCCATCTGGTCCCACCATCATATTCTGCAAACTGCTACTTCCATCTTCATTATACTGAAAGATTTCTTCCCCTCCCCACACTCCTGACACTCTTGAACCTCAAGACCTTCATTAATTTTATTCGCGGTTTCATCTGGAGTCATCCCAGTGCTTCACCTTCGTTGTTTCCAGAATAGCCTGCAAACTGCTTCAGATTCCCTCAACTTTTTACTTTTTGTTCACAGAGCATTTGAAGAGTCACCCCAAAAGATACCCATCAAGTTTAGAGTTAATTTTCCCTCCTACCTTCAGTTGTTTCTAGAGCATTTTTTCATCTTTCCCACCAGTACCAGCAAATGCTCTTTCCAAGATTCAATTTTTGTACATACTGTTTTCATAACAACCATTTCCCACTCACCTCCTGCATGAGGATTTCTGGTTTCAGAAACAGCATCTACAGTACAGATCTGCAATAATCTGCAGGTCTCAGTTTTCATTATTTATAGATCAAACTCCCACACAGTTGAAAAACTTCATCCTTGGCTAGCCATTAGATTCTGCGTTAAACCCAAGACTTGAGTCAGAAGATGGTCAGACAACTGATTTCAGGGTGGCCCCTAGGCATCACACAATTCAGTAATTAAAACGAATTACTGTCCTTTTCTCCAGTGAAGTCTGGAGGAGCTTTTGGCAACTTATGACTAAGATATCAGAGCAGGCTAAGAGAAAAAGCAGCTTGTACTGTGACATCTGAAGCACACTTATTCCAGGCTGGATATTTAGCAGCAGCAACTTGCTAGAAAATAGACTTCCAAACCCAAGGCTTCATCTGAAGCCATTGATCAGAGAGGCACCATGACATCCCTGTTTCGAACCAGAGCCAAGAGTTGTGTGCTAAATATCTCATGCGATAAAATGACCAGTAGGAACATCTTTTAAAAACCTTGAGCCCTCATAAGAAACTACTCAGCTAGCAGCCCTAACAGGTGGGCACTTGGCTGGAATATCTAAATGTTCACTGTGGATTTGACTAGCTGCCACCCTAAGCTTAAATCAAGCTTGATCCAACACAGACCTTCAACTTCCAGATATAAAGTTTCATATGTATGAAGTTTGGTCATTTTGAACTTTCAGTGCTGCAATTAGAAGCAACACTGTATCCAGATAACAGAAGGCTTGTTCTGACAACCTTTGCACCAGCACTACTGTGCAACACAACACCTCAATTCAACCAAGCTCCAGGATAAACTATACAGACCACTTGATATGTGACAACTCAGTGAGAAACATAGCTTAGTCTATTCACAGTGTACTACTCAGGGCAGAGATCCCTGAGAAAACATCATATAAATCAGTCACAGAAACAGAACAGCCTCAATATGCTGTGCCCAAGCAATGAGGAGGCTGGCCTGGCCTCTGCAGGACAGAGGCAGCTAGGTCACCATCAGCTCCCAAGCTAGTGCCTGGGCAGAGCTCTGTGCCATTCCAGAATGCACGGGTGTGCTCACACCTTAAAACAGACATCCTCACTGCAGCACACCCCCAGTATTCTGCTCCATGGTGAGTTCACCCTAAATCTCTCCAAACAGCCTGTATCAGTCTTACTTTCAGGCTGGGAAATGTTTCTTCCTAAAGACAACTTATGTAAAATCATCCTCCTGCAAGGAGCTGCCACATACTTGTACAGTGATTCAATCAGGGACTTCGAGCACACAGTGCTGCATCCTTTAACCATGCCCCAAACATGCACTTAACTAGGGGATGCTTCAAGTGGCCTAATAAGCATTAAACACACAGGTATCTGGGCACCCTTTCTGAAGGGCGGCCAGGGTGAGCATGACTTCTCCTAAAGATGCACCACCACAAAACTGCCAGAGGCTCTCAGGGTCAGGAGGAGGAAATAGGAGGAAATGTGACTTCAGCCTAGGCCGGCCTTCTCCTACTAAGTGACCTGGGCCCCCAAAATCCTTCTGTTTGTAGACCAATGGCTGTAGGAACCTTTCAAATTCCTGTTATTTCTCATTTCCATCATACAAGTTATTTGCAGAATAAACCCAAATTACTACTTGCCCAAGCATCACAGTGGGATAAGACCCCAGGCTACCAGAACACCCCCAAATTACCATTGCTCACAGCACACAGCTTGAGGTGGGACTCTTTGCTGTGCTTACAGGCAGCAGAAAGGTTCCAACCCTGCTAGAACAAAAACAGCACCTCCTACAAAGTTTAGATTTAACTGTTCAGCCATGAAGTTGACATTTACCACAAAGAACTAGCTATTTAAGTCATAGCTAGAGATAATTTAATACCCTAAGTTTCAGAGCCAGAACACATTCTCACATGCCTGAGGAGAAATTTATGTGCTTGAAGACTGACCTTACCTCATAAATGTTGGGATGCCACATTTTGGTCAGAAATCTGAAGGTAGGTGGTGAGTATGGATAGTCAATAGGAAATTTAATGTGAGCCTGAAAAAAAAAATTGCTTTAATCATCATGAAACAAAAATGGAGAACAAGCTGCTATTAGACTGAAAAGTTGGAAAACAATTAAGTAGTTTGTTTTATATACACTAGTACACAAGCAGATCCTGCTTAACACTACAGAATTATTAACAAAGTCATAATTGAACAATAAAGAACCAAACAAAAAAGTTGACCCCAGGACTGACCTGTGCTGGTAGTGCTCAGAAAACAAGCTAAAAGGTATTTATCATGTTCTAATTCAAGCAGCAATGTCCATTAACTGATTTGGAACAGTAAAAAAATAGATTTAAAAAAGGTGGTACTCAAGCCATGATTGCTTCTTGCTGGGAGGGAAGGAGCTAAAGGAAGCTAAATAGATTTGCTGAGGTTAAAAAGCTTGTTTTATGCATGCCAGTGCAAAGGCTTTAATCCACTTTTGTGGAAGGGGGGGTTGAAGACTTGCTCAACTGAAACCTAAGGGTTTTTTCCTTTCTTGCGTATAGTTTAAACTGATGCAGCTTCCTGGGTTTCTTTCTTGCCACAACAAACATTTAGCAAGTCTGAATATTGTTTGGGTACACTTAATAGGCCCCTATAACTTGATGAACCAAATACTGATGGGCTCCGACAGTCAACATGACCTTCCAGCACTTATGAAGTCAGCACACAGCTGTAGGGCAACATTCTGAGAGCTGCAGCCATTTTGCAAAGACTGCAGAGATCCCAGCACTGGGTATTAACTTTCTTGTACTACTATTCACCACACTCAAAAAAGCCATCAAGAAAAAAAAAAAAAAAAAAGTGGCTGAATGGCAAATGATTAAATACCAGAGACTCTGGAAGAGGGGAACTTGCACGCTGCTCTCCACATGCTGAAGCTTAGGTCCTTCTCTTGGCACTATTCAACATGCCAAGAGTCCCCACCACCAGTACAATGGATACTCTCCATGGAGCATCTTCTGCCTGCTGTCCTACGGCTGCATTCATGTGCAACAGAGAAGGCAAATTGGATGCAAAAAAAGCCAAATCAACTAGAACAGAGCCCTGGCCAACCCCTTCCACCCAAACAACTGACCAGTCTCCTCCAAGACACATCACCGGCCCCACTCAATGGGGCCTTCAACTATGGGACATTTTAACAGACAGGCAGGAATCTGTAGGCAGGGAACCAAACAGATTGGCTTACTGACCTACTAAGTACCTGGCTACAGTTTCACTTCAAGTGGCATACACCTTGCCATTGTAACCTAAATTTTACATTTTTAATATTTATTTTTGAGTGCCAGGTGACCAAGGACAGAAGGTTTTGCTTTAAGGGAAGCTCAGGAGCAAACATGCCCTTGCTCTTCACATTTCTGTTTGCCTGCACAGAAGCGTGATACAGAAGCAAAGCAGCATCAAGCCCTTCCACCAGGGTAATATGCTATGGCACATCCACAACCAAGAAATTCATGACCTGCTTTAACCACCCTAGCCCACAGTTGAAGGTCAGTGACGTGAAGGGATAACGTGTTCGCTTTGGAGCGATGCCCAGAGATGGCTACGGGGGGGAAAAAGCAGCTGCTGGAGCAAGGAAGCGCTTGGCTCTGGAATGCGCTACCCTGGACGAGAAGAAGAGTCAAGATTTACCTAGAGTAGGGGAGGCTTACGTCAGATCAAACTGCATCATGTAGCTGCAAACTGCTCCAGCCACAGGGGTTTTTCCCCAAGAAAGCCTGTTCCTGTGCTTACATGCTTAAGTTTCATCAGATCTAAGGCACAAAACAGGCCAAAGACTGAGATTCAACATGCACAAGACAATAAAACTCAGGACAGAGCTAGCTATGAGATGGCTTGGCAGAACCTATACGTGTGTCTCTATATGCAAGTTAAATTTCCTGGCCACTCTGAAGAATAATGTTGCCAGTAGTATTTCCGTGTTACTGCTTTTAAAATCTCACATTCATGGTCAGAGGGATGAGGGAGCACTGAGCACAAGCTACAGAGGTTGCAGACCCCAAACCTCTAAACCCTATCTTGCAGCCACAGCTCCACAGCAGACAAGGGTCATTTGGCCAGAAATTAAGTAAAGCTGCTGTTTTGCCATGTAAAGGACACCTGTTGAGCTCTCATGCCAGAAAATACAACTGGACAGTGTTTAGAGAAACTTTCTTCCCATGTGGAGGCTTTTGAGATCCAAACTTTCCTGCAACCAGCTGCATGTCTCAGGGAAGCACAGGGACACACTATTTGTGAATGAGCCACTTTCAGACAGCCTGTAAATACGTTTAGCATATGGAGATGCTCTAGTGGAACATAAAGCAAGTGAAGTGGCTTCTGTACAAGACCTGACTACACAGAGCCACAAGCAGGAAACCCCTGATTGGAAGCAGGGAGTTTACTAGCACTTTCATGTCCCAACATCACTCAGAAGTTGAAAAGTAAAACCAAATGCTTTCTCAGGCATTGCAAACAAGCCCCAGAGTATTACTCAGCATCTCACTTCTAACAGGAGTTAATCTAATAACCTTGCACTCAAGGAATGTTATTCAAGTTTCTAAATGGGTCAAGAAAGCCAAGAGTCCAAAAAAGCGCATTAACAGCCATAGTCAGAAGTCAGGTCACCTTCCATATTCACTGAAAACACAATTCTAAAAATAGGACTGGAAGTAACAAAAAAAAAAAACCAAACAAACAAAAACAAAAACAAAACAAACAAACAAAAAAGGCCTGGATTAGGTAATAAACTTCTTGCTGGAGATATAGCAGTACTCGCAGGGAATATTCCCCTCATCCCCCTCCCAATTTCCCTGATCTAAGGCAAAACTATCCAAACTGTTTCCCATCTCTGCTGAAGCTCAGCCAGGTCATACAGAGTGGCACAGTTTAGGGTGGCTTGTCTTTAAGTTGGTTAAAGGCAAACAAGTAAACTTAGAATGCAAGTCAAAATAATCTACCTGCAGGCACCCAGTGCATTTGATTCCTCAAGATTATGGCAAGCCAAACAGAAATAGCCCTACTGCAAGGCCCCAATTTTGACTGCTTTCTCACCATAACTCCCCTTGGGGCCCTGGTGGGTGCTGTGGGAGGGGAAGCAGAGGCCACAGTTATCAATACATGTCCCATTGCCCAATTTAGGGCTAGTCACACTTACATTCTCCAAAAATACCCCCCCACCCCACCCCAATACTTTACTCGGCAAAACGGATGGGCAGAAGATTCGGCCCCCTGCAAGCATTTAGTATTACATACTATAGCTACGACTTCTACATTACTGATACCACAGGACATATTGAGATGTCTGAGAAGAGCACAGTCACTTCAGGGCTGGCTGCTACTTGTTTTTATCACCTTGGTCCTTGACACTGTCATTAGTGATTGGGTTTAAAGGGTGTTTTTCAGCTTTGCTCAAGTCTTCCTCATTCTCTACACGTACCACCGGTCAGGTAAGACAGAGCCATAGAGAAAACTATATATACACTTTAAAAATAATAATAATAAAAAAGCTTGTTAGCACCATGTGATATGACTAAAAACTGAAAAAGTAAACCTAATGTTTCTACCAGCTGCTGAATTAAGCCCCAGCAGCCATTTGCAACAAGTAACTACCACTGACTTTGAGTCTCTAGAATTACTACCACATACTTGAATCAATATTTATATATTGCCATCATCTTCCTCTCGGTGGGGAATACCAGCACAAGCAGCATTGCTTTCCAGCTTCAGCTCTTGAGAAATTCAGTATTTATTCCAGCCTCATTGTATGCGCCACATCCGCAGCCTGACACGAAACAGGCCTCTGACACCAATTTATTCTGCTTTTCTTCACCCTGACAGAGCCCAGATGCCCAGTTCCTGGGCTGCCAAGTCAGAAGAGTTGAAGCCAACCTACCTGCCCCTGGCAGAAGGGCAAGGAGGGAGGGGTGCACACAGCTTTCCTAGAAAGCTGCTGTCATTACAATGACCGAATTTGGGGATGCAGATGCCAATGGAAACCACAGATGTTTGGCAGATGGCAAAGTTGCTATTTCGATAACATTTTTATAGAAAGAGTCACAACCATAATACATAGGGCAGTGAAACTAAGCACTTAAATACACTGTAGCGTTTTGTAATCAGCTGGTACAGGCAAACTATAGACAAACTCTTCCCATCTCGGTAAACCGGTATCCATCCCCTCTGCCCAGGCAGGAGTTACAGCGTTTGCAAACAGCACAAGGCTCCTCATTTGTCTTTAACACACATAAGCAGGCTCTTTGCTGTGCACATCATCACTTCCCAGAGTTGCATCCCCCCGCCAGGATGCTGCCAGCCACATCATACATTTAACATATCAGAAAGGCAGCAAGAACAGCTACAGACCACTACTGGGTTAAGTACTAAAAATCTAATCTCCCAGAATGTCCCTTATTACTCCTAGCACATCATGCATTTATACAATTCATCTAATGGATTTTCCTCCTCCACATTAAGCCTAGATTACTGAACATAATATTAAACACTATGTGCCAGAAAAGACATTTAGTAGAGGTCAGCACTAAGTATTAACAGCCTGTTTTGCACATCATCAGGGTTTAGAGCACCTTGATACCCTTCAGCTCCAGAACCTGCAAAGGAGCACTGGAGGCAGCCACACTGATCAGAGTGACAGAGTGAAAGTGAAGGTAGGGCCAATATAGGACCAGATATTATGACTCAGAACCCAAGCAATTTCTTGCAGAAAAACTCTTTGCTATTTGGTAATTTAGTCCCAGCTTTACCTTCATTACCCCAAAATGACATTTATTGACATTCTCTGTGCTTTTTAAAGGGTCAAAGCCTTATTTTAGTGTCCAAGTTAGGAGATGAGTGACCGGATGAATGTGAATCCTGAAAAATCCCTTATTGCTGTTAATATGGCCATCTGCAGGAAAAGATATCTTATGTTCTGTATTACCTCAATTGTATGCCTCAAAATGGAAAACAGACCTGCAAGGCAGTAGACCAAAGATGAATGGAGAAGTGAGGTCATGTTACAAAAATCAGAAAATTTGTCAGGCAG